TTTGTGTATGATCTTCACCATAAAACGTTTATTTGAAAGCTCAAGAAAACTGATCTTTTGGCAGAATATGAAGAATAATTCATAAGGGAGAGAGGAGAGAACATTACAATGAATTGTATATAGGTTTCAGCGAAATTACCTATCAAGAGATGGTGGAGAAGATTTTTAGCTCAGGTGGTTGATTTTGTTGGGGTTTTGTTCTATGAGCTGGATGGTTTAGTCATAGAGCTTTCATCGTTCTTCTGAACAACATCATCAGCACGAACTGCAGGTAGAAGTGAAGTGTTTCGTATTCTCTACATATGACTCACAGCTTGTCCTGTTGAACTCGATCTTGATTGGTTATTGTTGGGTAAATTGGAACACTTCACTTCTAGTCAAAGTTTGTGCTAATGATGTTGTTCAGGAGCACAATGAATGTTTCGTGACTAAACCGTTCATCTGAGAGGACAAAACTTCACCTAAATCATCCACCTGAGCTAGAAATCTTCTCCACCATCTTAAAATACAATTCAATATTATACTAAACAAAAACAGCATGAATTTCAGGCAAGGAGAATTTGTGCTTGCTAATTACCATAGATTTACTCTTTGGAATACTTATTAATCTTTTATGGAGTGAAACTAGGCGAATAAACCAAAGTTGTGTACTAGATACAGTTCTCATTCAGTTTTTATTACAAATTATGTTAAATTATCTTAGTTATTCGGTTCTATTTGAGTGTATTCTATCTCAACCTGATTGTAGTTACTACAGCAAATCGATAATCGAACAAACCAAAATGTACTGTCCTGTCAAGTTACCTTTGAGTACTGTTTGATGCTGTACCGAGTTATAACTAATTAGGACTGAATAACGTCTAAAATGTACCATCATAACGAATGTAAATATGTATTAGTCCTTCATAAAACTCACATATGGACAATGATGGTGCGTTGATATTTTAAGCACAGCAATATAATAATCAAGTTAATTATTGCCCACATATGCTTTGTCCAGAAGTGATACAGACAAACAGTTTCTCTAATAGCTATGTAGAGTCTTTTCAAACAACTTCTACAACTACTGACCAATTTCCAATCAGAGATTTATTACTTCGATGAATAAGGGGTGTTTCACCTGTGCTTTCTAATTGATCTATTAGTTTCTGCGAATCAAGTAAAATTGTCAAAATTAGTAATGCTGAGTTATCGAAAGGATTAGACATTTTTGCTTTTTCATTAATAATCAAAATAATCTTTCCACAATTCCATCAATAAGTACTTGGAATATCAGTTGTCTACAGAGAACAAATTTGAAATGTTTGAGATATTTTAGGACGACCCAAAGTTTGGAGATCAGTCTGTTCCTTCCCAGTAATTTGTTTAAAACCTGAAGTTAGCCAAATGTTAACTGATTTTAATAGATCGTCGTCAATTCAGTAGCATTATTTGCAACAATTCAGAAATTTAAAACCACCTTATAACTTATCAGTTGAAACTTAAATACACTAAAACATTTGATTATTTATTTTACTCACGGGTTGTACTTATTCCAAATTACAATGATAAACCTAGTAATTTATCTGTGCTTACACTAATAGATTGTTTTAACTAATGACAGTATTAAAAAGTTGATAATATTCAGTCAAACATTGGGCAATAGACACCGTCAAGTCCTCGATATGGAAAACTAAGTATGAGTTCATAGTGTGAGTTGACAATAACTACGTTTTACGCTTTGCTACACGTACATTTGTATACAAATACAATCAAATGTGCAGTTTTCAGCCTTCTGTTTTTGAAAACAGTGTAGTGAAGGGGAAAAAACATGCGAAGTATTTTATCCTTTGTAGGATCAGTACCAAAATAAAATACAAAGAGATTTCACCTCTATAAACGATATTAGTAGTCATTAAAACGACAATCTATTGGTGCAATAAGTAGCCTTCATATATGATACAACATAATGATAAAATCACATAGAGAAGAATGACAAGAAAAAATAATCAGCAAGAAGGATCTATTTTTGAAGCACTTCTACAAGTGTATGTTTATTTAATGAACACAAATTCTGGTATATATGAGCATAAAGGTACTATGCCTCAAATAACTAGAGAAATAACTTTGCTAATAAATAAATAAGAGAAGGAAATTACATTTCAAAAAAATTAAGTTGGTAAGACTTGCACACAATAGAGGAAACTACTCGATTAAAAACGCAGTTACGAACCAATTCTCACATTTAGTTGAATCTCTGTTAGACTACACCACCCCATACATTAGAGAAACTGAATTCTTACCTAGATATAGCCTTACTATTAGTAGATTCGCAGTCATCATATCTAAATTTTGCTCCAAAATAATAAGTGTATAAAAATAGTTAAATGGAAAGTTCATCCTATTTATAATTTACCGAACATGTATGTACACCTCTTTCTCTTTGAGTCATTTTGAAAGACTTTATAGAGTATTCATGTAACTGTAAATCAATGACTAAATATTTATACATTTACATGAGATGAAACAAACTGAATTATTACCTAAGTTCATATTACTACCAACAGTTAATAATATGGACACTGAGGATCACATATTCTTTCGAGGAATTTAGTGCCTAATAAAATATTGTCCTACGCGATTTCCAGCCAGTTTATTGATTAAGCTTACGAAATAACTGCGTTGTCAAAATTATTGTCCAATGCTCCCAGTTTATACTAATCGACATAGATAAGCTCTAACTACATAGTTCTGAGTCTTAAAATAATCTCATTTAACCTAGTATTCATCTATCAGTCTACAAGAGAAACTGTAAAGATACGAAGCATAAAGTATTATAGTGGTCTGTCTATGGGTTGTTTGGACAGCCGCCAATTCAGCTTGTATCTGATCGATTACAAATGACTGAGTAGCAGAAGTTTTACCCGTAATTTTGATAACAATTTCAATTATCCATGTTACGTGATTTGCCCCTTCTTCTCACATTTAAGTAAACATAACTGGACGTCCTAGTCCAAAATTATTATCTATTACTGACTAAAACATTATCATACTCACTTACACGGTAAAATGTTTCATGCCACATCCTCACTTCTTATTTTTGATGTTGTAATCTTTTTCTATACCAACTATGCTAGTATGCTTTAGATATAGTTCAATTTAATAATTGCCCACTATAGAAAAACCTGTAAGATCCTCACCTTTTAGTACGCTATATTACCAGCAGTGCACTCTGTTTTGACATGTTTAAAACTTGCAAGCGTGTAGGAGCGATAAGGAAATAAAATAGTATATGATTACTTATGATGGACTTAGCTTTCAAAGTGTCTGCATCACTAATCGTTCTTGACAAAGAATGTGGATGATTCTGAATCATTCAGAAAGATTTTACGACATATACATCTGATCCCAAGGCAACCCAAAACATCGATTCACAGTTAAGAGATCTCGACTGAAAATTTCATTTGCAATTTAGAGTTCTGATGATTTCTTTGTGAATCATATTCCTTGTCACTTTCTATTCAGGTCAAGTATATATTTGAATGCCATAAACATTTACTTCCATATCGTGTGAAACCTAACATAACTTTCACAATAATCGACCAATAAAGACGTAAGATTATTTGAACCTTACATATTAGAATTCCTTGAATGAACTCTCAAATTTACTCTGACTGAAGAGATGTGGAAACTCAGATGAACTGTTGCACTTCCTGAACATGATGCCTCAAAAAGTGAAACTGATTAAATTCAAATTCAAATAAGTCAAATCTTCCATTATTACTGTAAGATTTATTTCGATGTAGTGCACGAACTGCTATTAATACATGTGGGGTTTTATTTAGGCTCCAAGCTCATTGATTTTGAGAAATTTCTTATTCTTAGTTTTTAAAACTAATGTGGTGTGTGCTACCGTTGTCGACAGATATAAGTAGTAAGTATCATCATTCAAAAGTGAAATGTCTGGTGGGAGAAAGTAAAGAAGATCGAAGAAAAGAGAACGAGAACAGCGAATGATTGCTGTGGACATGAAGGAACAGTGAAGTCTGAAACAATTGATTGACATTTTGCAAATTGAGTATTCACAGTATGGTTCTCAGATTTTACTACGACTTTCTGTAATGTTGTGTTCGAATCCATTCGGTTGTCCTCACTTGTGTTCCCGTCCACTACTATAGTATCTTAGATTATGCACATATTTTCCAGTTCAATAGAAACGGTGCTTGATCAACAGCCTAGTTAATAATATCTTCATAGATTGTACTACTAAAGACACGATGAAGCTATTATATGAAACACTGATGAAAACTGACTTTCTATATCATATAATTTGTTACATCAATAAAGTCGTTTCAACCAAATCACTTAACTGCTTACAACTCCACCTTCACAGATTAATATCAATGATTTACAGTGTATCACTACTTACACTATGTTAACCAGTTTTGAAAAGTAATATCACTTTAAAATATTCTCTTCTTTAAAGTGTGAAGATCAATATGATACATGACCTTAAGTAACTACAGTATAAACTTTAGCCTAATTTTATCCACTTCAAATTTATGACTCAAAATGTACCTAGTAACATAATAACAGATATTTTGTGTTAAACAATCCTTCCAGCTATCGATTTTAAAGTTTGAAACCAGTAGATAATCACATTTATGAAATCAATCTACCAATCAATCAATCATATCATCGTCAATACAAAATCTAGACAACTAATCTTGTATCAGAAGGGGTTTTATGAAGATTGTAGTAATTTCAACAGTTGAACTCATGAGTCAATTGTGAAGCTAGACCATCATGGAAAACTTGGAAGCACTGGACGGCCGTTTCATTCTTATCATGTTTCATTTGATACTACTACCTTCTATTAAATAGTTTCTATGATATTTCTCTAATATAAAAGTATAGAATAAAGATTTCACCAATGGTTAAAATATTTTATTTAATCAATATTATGATGAAACAATTCATTGTTCTTTTAATATTTTGGTAATAAATTTCATTTGTTTATGTTATGTCATATAACATGTACTCATTTCAGTAGGTGTTAATTTTTCACAAATTATTTGTATTTCACATCCATCAATTTTTACTGTAGTGTAACGTCTAACACTTAATAAAAATGTAACTGTATAAATAGCAATATCAAATTCTGGTGATGATCCAACAAAAACTGAACCCATTGGTTTTTTATATTTATTTTCATCAAGATATTCTATCGTGATTAAATGTTCATGAAGAGTCTATAATCAAATGAATGAACAAACAAACAAACAATAAATATCAAGACGAAATTATAACGAAAGTATTCAACTAACATAGAATTTATTTACATGAATATTTTAAATATTGACCGATATTTGATACAAGTAAAATTTAATCTCTACACAATAATTCTGTAACTTTTTATGATTTATAAAGTAAACGTGAAGTTTAAATTCACTTGGTTTTTGTTTTACTTGTATCTTCCCATTAATGTTTAGGACTATAGTTGATCAGTCACTTATTGGTATATGTGTATACCGTATGTATGTCCTTGAGATTGCCTTAATTCACATGCATTATAAGTAAAGATGGAAACTGGGATGTGCGTTTCATCCTATTTAAGACTCATCAGCTGGATGCACCTGCATCTCACAGTTGATGTCCACTCTGAGAGTCAAACCTAGTACCGTTCTCTTCAAACGCCATTGTGTTATCTACTTATCAATTACAGTCTTAAATAACAATGGGAAGATACAAGTAAACAATATCAAGTGAATTTAAACTTCACCCCATTTCAAAAGCTAGTGGCTATCATGAGTCCATAGCTAAGTGGATAACGGTACTGGGTTCGACTCTCAGAGTGAACATCAACTCTGAGATGCAGGTACATCCAGCTGACGAGTCTCAAATAGGATGAAACGCGCATCCTGGATTCCATTGATAACCGCTATCCATCTATGCTTATAAAAGCGAAGTTGTTTTCGATTAAAATGTACAATAGAGTTTATTTATTAAGAAATTTATCACTCGTTGTAAGATTTATGAGTAATAATATCAAGTATCAACTTCTAGTTGCGTTTTCTTTTCTAGCTATTCTTACCATTCACTGGAAGTTATAAGATACAATTACCTATGTCTTATAAAGCAATGAAAAACTTTTTATTAATTGATTAAATTTCTTTTAGTGTTGTCGAATATATGTTTGTGGATAGAGGTATTAATATACATGGAGCTATTTATTCTACAATCTAAACATTGTGTTCCTTTCAGAACACATTGAATGAAAGCGTCTCAGTTAATGCTTTTTTTGCTTCTATCATCTTCTTCTATTATTAAATATACATCAATTACAGATGATGCTATCGGTATCCTCGCAAACCCAATTTCGGAAATTAGTTCAATCTTAATAGTTGATCTGTTAAACAGTGAAAGTGAAAAATCTCGTTATTTATCACTTATTATGATAAGTAATTTGTTGGCGTTTTTTTCTCTGAGCTGGATGGTGTGGTTATGGAGATTTCATCGTTCTTCAGAACGATATCATCAGCACAAACTTCAGATAGAAACTCCATGACCAAACCATCCAGCTCAGAGAACAAAACTTCATCAAAATCATCTATCTGAGCTACAAATCTTCCCGCCATCTAAAAATCATATGATAAATATACATAAATACCAGAATATACAAAATGCTTACACTCTTCTTCCATCCATAATAATTTATTTCCTTCTTCTTTTCTTTCAAATAAAATTGTATCCAATTATGTAATCCAAGCATCATGGATCTTTTATGTTCACCAACGAATACATGTTCAAAAGCGGATGAATCTCCACTTTATATTGATCATTATATTATTATTTTTTCATCATGGTGTTTTTTATCAACCATTCATTATTATTCATGGCACACAGAATCCATATAATGTGTAAAATATAAACAAAGAAGTTATTATAATAAACTGGAAATATACAGATTTAAACAATTTGTTGAGACTACTTAAATGACTATCAGCTCAAATTGATCTGTTAGTATTAACTTGATCGATTCAATTGTGAAATACTGCTAGTAAATGCGTTACTTTCTTTTCTGCTTAGCGTTTTTTTAGCGAGTTAGTTTTCTACAAGATGGAATCGATAACCCCATGCCCAACCCTCCTCCTTTATCGGAGTTTTGAACTGATAGTAGCCTCAAACGGGCTTCTGATCATTTATCGCACAATTTCATTTCGCTTGTAACCTGATTCAAGTTAACACTTTATATTAAACAGCCCCAACATTAACGAACTGAATTGATTTTATATAACAAACAACAATTCTCAATTCACACATTACAAATTCCAAATGATGTACTCTGCCTTAAATCTGGCCAATTTTATGGATTATTAATTTGGATTTATGATTGTAGAACCTGATGAGAAATTATTGAAAACTTTTAAATCTTTATAACTAACAGTGCTTTCAATTAATTAATCAACAACAAGGTCCTACCATGCCAGACAGGTTGGTTGAAGAGCAGCAAGACTAAAAGCAGCAAACTCAAGGTCCTATGGCGAAGTCGTACCGCTGACTGTACAGAAGTGTGACCGTAGTAGGGTGTTTCCCTCAGAAAACCAGTATAACAACGGTGCTGACTTCCCACAAGGTGAGGTAGGGTTAGAAAAGATCTACTTTAAAAATCCACACCTCGCCTTATCCCACGGATTTACGTCTCCGGCGGTTAGGTATCAACAAGTACGGGGCTAACACGAAAACTACTCACAAAAATGTTGTGAGCGACCGGCCTCAAACCGTTGTCCTTGGGGCACTGCGGTCACGCTCTCAGGTCAATAAGACCACCTCTAATCAAATTTCCTTTTCAGGTACCTCCAGAAGAGCTTTTTCATGGTGTGGGAAACCGGAAGGTGATGACCACCCTCATACCTGAAACAGCACTCAAGATCACTGTATTCATATGATAATTATCTGATACTATTTGATAGAAATTTTTCCAGTGGAATATTTTCTGAACGCACATACTACATCATATTGAATATATGAAAATTTCTATGGTTGAATAAAATTTAAAATAATCTGTTTCATTACAAAAAGGTTAAACTCCTTTCCTAAATTATGAATCCCTTGTATGTTCAAGAAAAATTTGTTTTTGATCATGAAATGAATCAACGCTGATACAGAGTTTTGAATCAAAGTTAGACATTTTCTTTATACTTTGTATTCTCTGATGGTGCTTCAAATGGTTACTTACTTACTTACTTACGCCTGTTACTCCTAATGGAGCATAGGCCACCGGCCAGCATTCTCCAACCCACTCTGCCCTGTGCCTTCTTTTCCAGATCCATCCAATTCTTGTTCATTCTTCTCATGTCTATCTCCATTTCTTTGGTCTTCCTCTCCTCCTTTGGCCTTCAGGATTCCATGTGAGGGCCTGTCTTGTGACGCAGTTCGGTGCTTTCCTCAATGTGTGTCCTATCCACTTCCAGCACTTCTTCCTGATTTCTTCCTCCACTGGCATCTGGTTTGTTCTCTCCCACAGTTGGTTGTTGCTAATAGTGTCCGGCCAATGGATCTGAAGTATTTTGTGTAGACAACTGTTAATAAACACCTGTATCTTCTGGATGATGGCTTTCGTAGTTATCCAGGTTTCCACCCCATACAGTAGAACTGTCTTGACATTTGTATTGAAAATCCTGATCTTGATGTTGGTTGACAGTTGTTTTGAGTTCCAGATGTTCTTCAGTTGTAAATATGCTGCTCTCTCTTTGCCGATCCGCGCCTTCACATCTGCATCAGACCCACTCTGTTCATCAATGGTGCTGCCCATATATGCAAAGGTTTTTACATCTTCCAATTGTGAATGGATTGGTGCATGCTGTGTTATATCGGAGAATCTTGCTTTCCCTTTTGTGTATATTGAGACCTACTGCTGCTGAGGCTGCTGCTACACTGGTCGTCTTCTCCTGCATTTGTTGTTGCGTTTGGGATAGAAGGGCCAGATCGTCTGCGAAACTAGATCGTCCAACTGCATCCTAGATGTCCACTGTAACCCGTGTTTCCCTTCAGACGTTGACGTCTTCATGATCCAGTCGATCACCAGGAGAAAGAGAAAAGGTGAGAGTAAGCAACCTTGCCTAACACCGGTCTTCACTTCGAACGACTTTGTCAACTGTCCTACATGCACGATTCTGCAGTTTATTCCATCATAGGAATTCTGTATGATATTGACTATCTTCTGAGGCATGCCGTAGTGTCGAAGAAGCTTCCATAGTGTTGTTCTGTCCACGCCATCAAATGCCTTTTCGTAGTCAATGAAGTTGATGTAGAGTGATGAATTCCATTCAATTGATTGTTCCACAGTGATCCGTAGAGTTACGATTTGGTCTGTACACGCTTTAAATGGTACTAACTCAAAAATGTTTTATGGAAATAATTCATCATTTTTAAAAATAACCAGTCGAGTGTGAAAACTACGGGAGAGTAATTTAGATACAATTTAGAGGTTCTAACATAATCTACAGAAGATAAAACTACTGATATGTAGAATGAACTCAAGAAACGTCGTAACTGTTAGATCAATCTACCAGTATGGTATTTTTTTTGAGCGAAGTTGAATAGAAATTCAGCTTAATATGGTAAGTCGTAAACCTGCATGATCCTATGGCGCTAAGAAATTTTCTGATGTCACTTGAAAACCAACTAGGTAGATAGATCTTCAGGTCACATTTAAGTGTTTCATTCCAGTTTATGGAACACAATGATTAAAACAAGGTACACTTTTCTATTCCTGTTATTGTAGCTAAATAAGGCAACACCAAGTAGTAAGACAAGTTGCTAGACTCACTTTTCCGAGAAGCTGTCAGTTCATGTCATCATCCAACTTCATTTCATCAATCTCTCAATATTCTATTAGTCAATATAACAATTGTATTCGAATCACTCTAAACTTACCGACTAAGTTTATATCGCTTGAACCACAAATCCTTCAAGAATTTTCCAAAAACATCAATTCCTCCTGATATCTTTTGTTTTTCAACTAGGAAATCATAAGTCATTTTCATGATTTTCGTTTTTAGCAATTCATTGATAAAATCATCTTCCTCCTCATCTTCTCCTGTGACCATCTCAGTCATATCAACTTGAGGATCGTAGTTATCCAGTAATGCAATGAACTCTAAAGTATAAATATAGTTTTGAATTCAAGCTGTAATAATTTTATGACATAAACATGTTTAACAATCCGTTTAATCACTTATGAAACAATAGACAACCATAAATATCTAAGTATGTGGATGGTTTCCTAAATCGAATATTGAAAAATTGGGACAGTTTAAGAAAGAAACAAACGCCATACCATACATATTTTGTGATACAAGTACGAATGTCAGTTTAGAACCGAAGCAGAATGAATTAGAATCCAATTAGCTCAATATTGATTAAGATATTGATCTATTTTAGTAGTTGAATTCATGAGTCAGTTGAAGCTAGACCATCATGGAAAACTTGGAAGCACTGGACGGCCGTTTCGTCCTATTGTGGGACTCCTCAGCAGTGCGCATCCACGACCTCGCCCCCTGCGAGATTCGAACTCAGGACCTACTGGTTTCGCGCGCGAGCATTTTGATCTACATTTAGAGAAGAATTGTTTTGTTTTTTTAATAAATATACTGCTTAAACAATCAGTGACGCAGGCAATACATTGATTAAATCTTAAAGTCGGTCATTATTCATTGTGAAAATGGGATAAATTATATATCTGATTTAGTACGTTAGATGCATTTATCCATTGAGACTGGCGTATAAATAGTTGGATTCCTAATACAAAAATCGTCTCAGATAAAAAAGATTCACTGATTTGATTAACAGTTAGCTGTCAATTACTCATGGTATGTATTTTATCTTCTAATCATCCTTTTACGATTGGTTGATTAGTGAATACTGATAAATGTCATGTTTAATCCTTCTTGATTCTGATCAAATTCTACTGTCCTAATAGCGATGTTGCCACTAGTTTAAGTAACTTAACAGCGCGTGAACTAAGTTAAGATGTAATGCGGTGGTTGGAGGTGGTCGATTGATGAACATAAACCTATGTCCCGAGTCAAATAGCCCAGTGGTAAAGTCTGTGATTATAAAGCTGGGTGATGTATGATTGAATCCCGCTGATTAGTGCAAAATGGCATGAAACGTGAGTCAAATATGGTTTCTTATCAATTACCTCCAAACACCACTACTAAGTTTTCCTTGTTTAAAAAATGTTAATACCTTTGTTTATTTTACCTCACTGTCACCATGTCTAGCAGAAGTTTATTATCAGTATTATTATAATTATTACCATCCTGAAAAATAAGTATATATATTTGCGATTGTACAGCTTTGATAATGAACTCGGCGAAAAAAACTCCTCGCTGAACTAATCTTTCTCATTTAATTACATTCATCTCTCCATTATCATGTAAGAATTTTTAAGGTGAATGATGTATTTGAAGATATATAATCACTGAAGTGATGCTTAAAAGCAGCATAAATTGTTGTGTACATTAGGTAAAAAGGAATAGTGTAAGGGGAAGGCAGAGTTAAAATCAAGATTTCCAGTATAATACATGAGCGTGATTTTATTTATCTTCTGTTATACTAATATTCAAAACACTGGAAATTCCTAACCACACTAATGGAGCTATAAACCGAATGAGACTAAGGTTGATCAGTTTATCAAAAGTTATTTACTACATTTAAGTTGGAAAAGTTTACTGCTAATCACGTTTATTCATCACATCATTCGCAAATATTTTATCTTAATACAATATTACTCTTCTATTCATTTCATGCGTGTCTTTTAAATCTCACCGTTTTATCCGAATCAGATAATACGAAAGATCAGATTAATTATTATTTTAATAGTTGAATTCATGAGTCGATTTAAGCTAGACTACAAATGAAAACTGGGTGGCCGTTTCGTCCTAGTATGAGACTCCTTAGCAATGCACATCAACTCATGAATTGAACTATTAAAATTACTGCAATCTTCACAAACACCCATTCTGATAATAATAATAACAATTATTATTATTATTTGCCCTTTACGTTAGTTTTGTATTACAAAACAATGAAGTGAATTTTCAATAATTGTTTTATGAACATCGTCTCGATCCATTATCTGATGTTTGACTCGATTATCATGGGATTTTATTTAAAGAAATTTCATTGTCACGAAAAATCTATAAATTATAACAATTATTTATAAAACTTACTTGAGAATATGGGTCTGGTCTTGAATATATCTTCATTAACGTATTCGAACAATGGATCGGGTGACAGGTCTACGAACGGATCGAACTGATCTATATGTTCTATTAATAAGGGAGAATTAAATGGAAAAACAAATCCTGTCAAACAAGTGGTAATGTTCAATTAATATGTGTTGCTTAAAGCTGTAGGCATTTGACTCAGTCACATTTTACTTTAATAGATTCGAATATATTTGAAATCGATTGATGACTGTGGTTCTCAGTAGTGCTATTGAGTATCTTGGTTGGTTTATTTTTCTTGTGTTGGATCAATTATTTGTCAATCACCTTAAAAAGTGTCATAAATCGGAAACGGTTTGAAGTTTAAAAAAACATAAGTAACTATTCAGATTCATAAACTTTAAGACCCGGATTAAAAATGTCGAGATATTTTTCTCAAACTATGGTCACGTGCCATCACTAGTGTCTAATCAAGTCCTTTTGATGGACTTTTATTCTCTGAGCTGGATGGTTTGGTCGTGGAGCCTTCATCGTTCTTCTGGATGACATCATCAGCGCAAACGTCTACCTTTACTTCTATCAAGCTCAGAACAAAACTCCATCGAAATCATCCGCCTGAGCAACAAATCTTCTCCACCATCACAGTCTAGTCCTTCTTCATATTGATATTGATAAATGTCAACTTTTTGATTAGATCTAGAGACATACTTTGTTCGAATGAAGTTCAAGGCATTATAAATTTATTGATTTAACGTTAAATCTCTTAGTTTAGTTTGACATTTAATATGATCATTAAACTAAGCACCACATAATTTGGCTAGTTATAGATACCAAGGAAGAATCATTGATTTATGAATGATATGTAAAAGTTTTAAACAAATACCTCACTAATATTTCTGTTAATTAACGCTGTTAATGTAACCTAATGTGTAAATAGAGAGGATGTATTCACATTATACACCTTGATTTTAAAAACAACGAAAAATCGTCACTCATGTTGTAAAGCACTATTTGGTATCAGTTATTATTTACTTCATGAGATACACAAATATATTAGACACTCAGTTGCCCCCAAATGCCCTGGTACGGCCGAGAGTGGGGAGAGTCCGCTCACCCTCTCCAAATGCTTTCACATGGCCACGCGTATATAGCCTCTGCCAGGGAAGTCCTATTCACTGCCTTCTCGTGGCGGGGGTGTTGTTTACGAAAGTGAGAGGACCAAAAGCGAATGTCCGGCGCTTTAATCGGGTCGATGGATATGGAGAGTCTACTTAGGGGAGTTGGAAAACCCTGATTCTAAACTAATGGTGCACATGGGCTCCAGAATCCTGAAAGAACAAATGGCGTACGAACCAATCGTTGGTTCTCGACTACCATGGGATTGCATCTCCTTACGTTGCTCCATTGCCTTATAGATCAGACCTTCAGGTCGGAGACTCCGGGTGTGGCCCCCTAAGAACACCAGCTGCTTCGGTTTCGGTACCAGGGCATTATCATAGCCTTCATACTTATCGAGTGAGATTTGTGGGGCGCATATGTATTTGGTGCATCCGTGTACCAATATTTATGTGTTAAAATCAATCAATAAATAATAAATGTATAAAACCATATAACTATCATATATGTGTTTTATATTTTTTTCCAAATGAATGAGTTTCAGGTAGTGAATGTTTTCGATATAAGATATGCCAAATTAGTTAATTACACTTCTAGATGTAAAACATATGATGTATTACTTCAACGATATACCATTCAAAATTAAACTCCATTTCTGTAGTTATGAACAACAACATTTTCTTATTCCATAAACTTTCATTGCTCTTATTCAGAGATGAACAGAATCATAATACAATGTTATGTTCATCATCACTACATGAGAATTTGAAAAGATAGAAATAATAGATGAAATTGGTGAACAATCAGCTAATTCTGTAGACATTTAACTCATAACTAGCACATCAGTAAACTAACACTTTACACTCTCCAGCACCATTTCAACCAGTCGTGTTCACAACCAATCACCAATAAATGAAATGACTGTTTCCATTCACGGTATTTGCCTCGTAACTGACAGTGGAATTCAAAAGTCACATTGCATTATATCTCGTTCTGGTCAGTCGGATGGATCAACATCCAAGCAATGATGTTCACAATGAGACACGAATCCAACAACCATCACTTCGAATACCAACGGTTAATCCAATAACATACTCAGTACAATTACTTACTAATCTCTATGAATTTATCTGTGAGAGTTTGTGACTTCCCATTCATCTAATTACTTTCGGATTTCAGTAGTCATTTCAGTGTAATAGAAACGAGGAACAATGTTGATGAACTCAGTGAACAAACAGAGAAAATACTATAAAGACTTGTTAGGTCAGTATTCACTATGTCTATAGAGATTGACAAAAATGGAATTGGAATTACCTTGTAAATTGAGTTTGTAATCTATATCAGGTCGAACTTTATTCTCATCCTCTTTGTACAGTTTCGTATAGAATTCACTCAATTCCTTATTGTCCTCATGTCGTTCAATTTGATCCAACACCCTATCAGTTGTAAATAATCGTCAATAATGAAACATGAAAATCAGTAATTCATTTAATTTAAAACGAGATTCAAAGTATGTAAACTGTTATTCATATCAATGGAACGAGATTCATATATAGCGTCAGCTATCGGTGGGCATCTTTAATCTGAAATGACACCAAGGTTGGTGTTCAGAAATTCAAAGCATACTGTACAGTCATTTGATTCCGGATGATTTTACCTTGAATTGAACTTAAAACTCAATCGAACTGGTTACAACACGTCATGAATAAATTGAAATGAATGCAGATTTTCAAAGGATGATGACAGAATAGCCATTGTTTGACGGTGTTTTTACAAATATCCTGTCTCAAATACTCGCATTGACAGAAAACCACATCACAAATTAAGCTTAAAATCAAATAAACACTGTATCCATAGTTTGACAACGCTTATACACATCAACATTTGTCTATTAAAACTACGGAATAGAAAATAGAATGACAATGTTTACACTACACATTAATTTTCGTAAGGCTGTTTGGCGATCGTTTGATACCTACCGACTTACTTACACTTGTTACTCCTCATCGAAGAGCATATACCCCTCACCACCATTCTCCATCCAACCCTGTACTGGGCAATCCTTTCTAGTTACTAACAGTTACTATTCAACCTTTTGATGTCTGCTTCCAATTCCCGACGTAGTGTGTTATTTCGTCCTCTTCTTTTCCGTTCACCTTCACGATTCCAAGTTCGTGCTTGTCTCATGATGCAGTTTAATGATTTCTGTGATGTATATCTCATCCATCTCCGAAATCTTTCCTTAACCTCCTCTTCAGATGGAACCTGGTTTGTTCTCGCCAAATAGTAGGCTGTTGCTGATGGTATCCCACCAACAGACATTGAGTATCTTGTGTAGACAATTGTTTACCAACACTTGTACATTTTTGATGATGATTGAGGTAGTTTTCGAAGTTTCAGCTCAATACAGTAGAAGTGTGTTGACGTTCTCATTGAAGACTGTGACTTTGATATTGGTTGACAGTTGTTTTGAGTTCCATTTGTTGTTCAACTTTGGGAATGCCATCTTTGCTTTGCCAATCCTTGCATTTACATCTGCACCAGATTCTCTTTGTTCATCGATGATGTTGACCAGTTACGTGCATATTTACCCTACCAAGTGTTATCGGGTTGGCGTTCTTTTGGTTGTATTTGAGAATCTTGCTTTTTGTCTTGTGAATGTCGTTGCCTATTGATGCAGAAGCTGCTGCTACATTGAATGTCTCCTTGTAGTTGTTCCTTAAAAGGAACTTGAATATTATATTCTTCAACTTCTTCAACAAGCATGTTAAGAAGATTTGGAAATGAGCTTCAATATATATGTTTAATAAGCATTTCCTATAGAACTCCACATTTCCATATTTTTAGTATTCTATATTTTGTCTTTCGCTGTTACTGTTTATCTGTCTACTATTCCATAACCGGTTTAATAGAGTAACATTAGAATAATAAATAATCCTGGCCAACACATTGACTGATGTGTGATCAGAATAACTGAAGTGTTCAGTTGTGAATTCCATCTACCTAGTTACTTGAATAATTGAATAATAAAAATGTGAGATTTCTGTCGGTAATGGAAGTTATAGTAGTAAATATTGGTAAACTTAATGATAAAATTGAACTTTTCATGAAAATTTACAACCATTCAAGTTGTAAATCACTGGAAAAACCTGAAAATCATTTTAAACAGTTGAGATCATGAGTCAATTGAAGCTATACCACCATGGAAAACCTGGAAACCTGAAAATCATTTGCGAAATCACTGTTTCAAGCCTAATATTCACTCATTTACACTATTGTCTACTGTAATTAACTTTCCTTTGTAATCATTCCAAATAGAAACTAGTATTGACGAAGTAAATCAGTTAAATCTAACAGATCAGCATGACTAAAGTATGATTTTGACAAGAAGTCAATTAGTTCTGTTCATTCATACATTATGTTCCAATCATGTATTTTTATAGGGTAAATAAACTAATTCCGTAATTAAAGCAATTTAAAATATAATACATGACACCTTTACTGACCATATGATCTTAATTTAAATGAATAGTAAGTACATTATGACACTTGCAAAATGCATTTTAAAACTAGTCTATATTCACCAAAGTATGTTTACCTCAAAGATAGTCTAGAATATTTCAATATGAAATGGACATACAGGAATATATATCAAATTGATTTAACAATAACGACAACTTTCGATTCCTGTTTAAGGCTACTTCAGTATTCTGGTAGAAACAGGTGTCTACCTCAGTACAATGGAAGGTGGTTGCGCAAATTCGTGGATTGGTTGAGGTTAGACATTAACACCATTGGATGCCGGCTCAGTGGTTCAGTAGGTTAGGCGTTCGCGAGCGAGACTGAATTTCCCTGGGTTCGAATCCCGTGAGCGGAATCGTGGATGCGCACTGCTGAGGAGTCCCACAGTAGGATGAAACTGCCGTCCAGTTCCTCCAGGTTTTCAATGGTGGTTTGACATCAATCGGTTCATGATCTCGATCAAAACTTAACAATCTTCACAACCCCTATACTGATAGTTAACTTTTTACATTGATAATCTTAATTAAGTGTTTTGTATAAAATCTCAATATTCTTCTACCTATGTCACATGATATTTTTGAATTCTTTTGTAATACCTTTTTATCAGTTGTAAAAATGAAATTTTATGTAACGCTTTCACTTGAATTCCCATAAAGTACATTATGTTTACATTTATACAAGAAGAATATTTTGGCTATATATTCTTGATAGAACCTGATTATTTCCCTGTGAATTATTTGTTCAAATCTGCAATAACCTTATTCATGTATTCTTTGCATAGATAAGAAAATTTCATTCAGTTTTCACAAGTATCCTATTTATACACCTGATCACTTTAAATGCAGTAGTTTTCAAAAATAACATATTCATTCGATTATTCCCACCATAATTTTTATGATTAGTCTCTAAATCGCTTATTATTAGCAATGACGAATCCTACACAGAAATAGATAACATTTAAGTGTATTTAAACTGAACGCTTGAAATTTTCTTTCCTTACTTGACAATTTCTCAAAGCCTAACTAAACAGAACCAAGTGAGACGATTTTGGGAAAAGACGACACTCTTATCTACTCTCAGTCCAGACGTTTAAAACGATGAGTGGAACACTTTAAGGAGCAGTTCAGATGGCCTTCAGCTACTCTACAACTACCCTCCATTCCCAGACAGTGTGAATGGAACATTGAAGTAGATCCCCCGACTCTAGCTGAAGTTTGAAAAGCTATAGCTAATCTGAAACAAGAAAGAGCAGCTGGTCCAGATGGATTGGCTCCAGAGGTTCAGTTTTAGCGGTTAGGTTGACTAATATTTTAGCTAAGATCTGGGAGTTAGACGTTATTCCATCTGACTGGTCACAACCACTTATCGTCCAAATATATTAGAGAGGGTTAAAATCATCCTACGACAACCATAGAGGGATTAGTTTAACTAATATAGTATCGAAAATACAAGCCTCGAAAATTATCGGACACCTAACTAAGACTCGTGAACAGCAAACACGAGACAATCAAGCTGGCTTCAGGCCTGGTCGTGGCTGCATCGACCACATATTCACCATTCGCCAGGTTCTAGAACACAAGCATACTTATCGGCGTCCGACAATCGTGATCTTCGGGCATTGATCTCCACCAGGAGGTCCACTTATCGACTTAGAATACTCAGATCATGTAGTCCTGTTTGGTGAAGTGGCTTATAAAATGCAGTGTTTTGGTAGCACTGCGCAACAATGCCAGGATGTTTGGGATGTGTTTCTCCCCCTCTAAATGCAAGTTTTCGCTTCAGGACTGGTCTGCGTCAACACCTGGACTAAGGATAGGGAGTGAAGTAGTCGAACGCGTAGACAACTTCACTTATATTGGAAGTCTGATCAGCCCTAATGGGTTGGTGTCTGACGAAATCTCAGCACAGATTCGAAAAGCTTGTTTGGCTTTTGCCAAATTACGTCACCTATGACGAAGGGGAGATATCCGTCTATCAATAAAAGGACGAGTTTATCGCACGGCAGACCGTTCTGTTATACTTTACGGCAGCGAAACGTGGCCATTAAGAGTAGAAGACACTCGTAAGCAATTAGTATTTGACCACAAATCCCTTAGAAATATTGCTGGCATCTGCTGGGATCACCGGGTAAGTAATATGAGTTAGACGCAGGGTATTAGGGAATGATGGTAAATCACTTGATGAGGTCATGAATCTTCATCGACTGAGATGGTTGGGCCACGTGTTACGTATGCCCAAACACCGATTACCACGAAGCGCAATGCTGATTAGTGTTGGAGATGGTTGGAAGAAAGTTAGGGGCGACCAAACCAAAATATGGTATCAGTGCTTGAAGACACTAACTTCTGGTTTTCGCCATGTTGGTAGATGCAGACTACTTGGTTGGGGTCCGCGTGACTATCGTAACCAATGGTTGGAGACTCTTGGTGACATGGCTCAGAATCGATCACAATGGCGTAGGTGCATACACTCTTTGACTTCTACTAAACTATGAGACTAAAATTATTTCATATCTTTCTTTCTACGAACTAATTCTTTCTTCCTGTACCATATCCTTATATGCAATCTTTCCTTTATATATTACACCATTGAATTAACTGCTTCGGCCAATCCGGTGTTTGTCTTGCTGTACTAATGAGGTGTGACAACGTGAACCGATATATGTATGTGCCTGGTTCTACGTTGTAACTGACTGGCTGGCTGTCTGACGATAGATATAAGAAGTATGTATCATAAGTCGAAAATTAAATATCTGGCGGCAGAAGGTTAAGAAGATTGGAGAAAAGCGAACGAGAACAGAGAATGATTGATATGGAAACGAAAGAACAACAAAGTCTGAGACCATTGACCGATATTTTGCAAACGAAGTATTCACTGTATGGTTCTCAGATTTTACTAAGAGATTTTGTAATTT